ATTTTGGTTATTTCTTTTCTTCTGTTATATTTGGGATTGGTTGACTTTTGCCTTTCAAATTCCTTCAAGTGTAATGTTAAGTTGTTAACTTAAGATGTAAGTTATTGTTTTTCTTTTTATGTCAGCGTTTAGCAGTATAAACTTTCCTCTCAACACTACTTTTGCTGTGTCCCAGAGATTCTAGTATGTCTTATCTTTGTTTTCTTTTTTTTATTTTTCTTTTTTATTTTTTTTATTTTTTATTATTATACTTTAAGTTCTAGGGTACATGTGCATAATGTGCAGGTTTGTTACATAAGTATACTTGTGCCATGTTGCTGTGCTTCACCCATCAACTCGTCAGCACCCATCAACTCGTCATTTACATCAGGTATAACTCCCAATGCAATCCCTCCCCCCTCCCCCCTCCCCATGATAGGCCCTGGTGTGTGATGTTCCCCTTCCCGAGTCCAAGTGATCTCATTGTTCAGTTCCCACCTATGAGTGAGAACATGCGGTGTTTGGTTTTCTGTTCTTGTGATAGTTTGCTAAGAACGATGGTTTCCAGCTGCATCCATGTCCCTACAAAGGACACAAACTCATCGTTTTTTATGGCTGCATAGTATTCCATGGTGTATATGTGCCACATTTTCTTAATCCAGTCTGTCACTGATGGACATTTCGGTTGATTCCAAGTCTTTGCTATTGTGAATAGTGCCACAATAAACATACGTGTGCATGTGTCTTTATAGCAGCATGATTTATAATCCTTTGGGTATATACCCAGTAATGGGATGGCTGGGTCATATGGTACATCTAGTTCTAGATCCTTGAGGAATCGCCATACTGTTTTCCATAATGGTTGAACTAGTTTACAATCCCACCAACAGTGTAAAAGTGTTCCTATTTCTCCACATCCTCTCCAGCACCTGTTGTTTCCTGACTTTTTAATTTATCTTTGTTTTCATTAGTTTCAAATAATTGCTTGGTTTCTACCTTTACTTCATTGTTTACTGAAATCATTAAGGAGCACGTTGTTTAGTTGCCATGCAATTGTATGGTTTTGAGATATCTTCTTTGTATTGATTTATATTTTTATTGTGTTGTGTTCTGAGATTATGTTTGGTATGATTTTGGGTTTTTTAAATTTGTTGAGAATTGCTTTATGGTTAAGTATGTGGTCAATTTTAGAATATGTGCCATGTACAGATGAAAAGAATATATATTCTGTTTTTGTTGGGTGGAGTGTTCTGTAGATGTCCGTTAGGTTCATCTGGTCAAGTGTTAAGTTTAGGTCCCAAATATCTCTTGTTAGTATTCTGCCTCAGTGATCTGTCCCATATCATCAGTGGGGTGTTGGAAGTCTACCACTCCTTGTGTCATTATCTAAGTTTCTTCATAAGTCTCTAAGAACTTGTTTTATGAATCTAGGTATTCCAGTATTGGGTGCATATATATTTAGGATAGTTAAGTCTCTTGTTTGAACACTTTATTTTTATGTAATCCTATTCTTTTTACTTTTTGATTGTTTTTGGTTTAAAGTCATTTTTTTCCGAAATAAAAACAGGAACCCCTTTCCAGCATTCTTAAAATTTAAAATTTTACTTTCAAAGGAGTCAAGATGAAATGATTTAGATGCTTTGTCACTTATTTAGTCATCTTCACTGTTATCCAGAAGTAAATTTTAATGATAAATTTTATTATAAGAAAGGGTTTTATCATGCTATATAGACCAAGAGGCCCAGGAGTATTTTAAAAGTGAATTTGTTATTCATATTATTACAGCTTACAAACAATATTATTGTATGGGTAAGTTTCTAGAGTTACACTTAAGTAGTTGGGAAACAATATGATTTTTTAGTAATGTACAAAGGCTTTTCAGGATTTTGTACTTGAGTGTAATTTTTGGAGATTACATTTAATTTAATTTATTTATTTGTTCTTTTGAGGCAGGATCTCACTCTGTCACCCAGGCTAGAGTGCAGTGGCATTGTCATGGCTCACTGCAGCCTCAATCTCCTGAGCTCAAGCAGTCCTGCCATCTCAGCCTCCTGAACAGCTGGGACCACAGGCATGCACCACCACACCTAGTTAACATTTTTAATTTCTTGTAGAGACATCATCTCACTGTTAACCATCGTCTCACTGTTACAATATTTTAGAATCAATTTTATAAACAGGGATGACAGAAAGTACCATAGCTCTAGAAACCTTAATTGAGGACATTTTCCATAGAGGAAAACCTACATTTCCTTAAATAGTATTACACCCTTTTAAACCTCTAGGTTTCCTATACCACCAAATAGACTAGAAAGTAAATTTCCAACTTCACAAAGTTCTTCAGTCAAAATAACACCAGCAAACGTGCTATTATATAGTCTCCCTTCCTTTTGCTCTTTTTATCTGAAATCCACAGCATATGTCAGTAGATTATAATTTAATTAGGAGATTTAATAAAAGTTGTATCCACTCCCCTGATGCCACTTCCTTATGAAAAGTTTCATTTTAGCCCTTCCACAGAATAGTATGTTTGAGTCTTATTCACAAAGGAAAACCATCTATTTTTATCTAGCATAGTAGATAATAAAGAAAACAAATTGGAATAATATGAAAGAAAAAGTGAAAAAAAAAGAATATTTTGCAACTTAAGATTGGCTCCAGACATGGATGAAAATTCAATGTTAAATCAGTTGTTTCTGCTATAAGCATTAGCATAAGATCTTTGAGCTGAAAAGCGCTATAAGTTCAATTCAAATTACTGTATTATGGTGGGAAATGGGCACAGACTCTGGAGAAAAACAAAATTAAAAAAAAAAAAAAACTTAAGAGTTGGATCCTGGTTTGACAAGGTCACTGGCTAGGTGATCTCTGGAAAATTATTTAATGTGTTTAATTTGTCTCATCACTTTACCTGTGAGAAAAGTGACCCAGAGAAGTTAAAAGACTTTCCTTTTATTACAACGTGGTTTTGCTGTAGAGTGTAGAAAAAAATATACATTTCTTTTTATTCTCAACTATTTGAAGACACTTTATATAATACTATAGCATTAAAATGTCTGCCAAGAGGTTGCTCCTTTGTGATATTGAAATAATAGTGTGACTATGGCCTTATTCTCTCATCTGACAAGAAATAATAATTTATTATATTTATTAAAATCACATTTGCTTTCACCATTAATTCTGATTAGGATTTTTATGCTGATATGAATAACTAAAATGATGATCTAAGTCAGTTGGGATAGGCTAAATTATGCTATAAAAATATCCTGCAATCTCAGTGGCTTAAACCCATTTGTTTATGGCTCACAATTCATGTCCATCATGGATCATTGGGATTTTGCTCGTCTGTTCACTGTATTAAACAGTAACTTAGAAACCTCAGCTGATAGATCAGCCTTCATCTTGAACTTTTGCTTGTTGTATGTCAAGGAAAGGGTGAGCTCCAGAGGATATCCTCTTGACAATTAAATACTCCAGTCTGGAAGTGACACACACATAATTTCTGTTCCCATCCCATTTCCAGAATTAATCACAGACATGGACTCACCCAATTAAAAGGAAGCCAGGTAGTGATATTTTACTCTTTCCTAGGAAGAGAGGGAGAACAGTTATGACATGATATTACCATCACATGATTTATGAGGTATTATGGCCCTGTTTAGGACTGAAAAACTTTAAGAATAACTAATATGAAAACTTTTTGTGTGGACAAAAATGTTCTATAAAATGCCCAGCCTTGAAGAGATACTGTTGGTGATTTGTGGCTTAAATGTACGCTTTTTCAATGTGGCATTGCTATTCTTACCTGACTGTAAGTTTTGGCAGGTATAAGTATTCTTTTCTATTGGTTTCCTCTTCACCGTCTGACATTTTTTTTTTCTTTTTGCTTCGTAAACACTAGAGACAGATCCATAGCTTTGCTGATCTCTCTTACTACTCTGGACATTAATCATTCTGAGTGGCTCTTTTGATTAGTTACTTTTGGCTAATCCACTTGATTCCCTAACTAGTTACTCCCACATATTTGTTCTGTGTTGAAGTTGTATCATTTTGTTACACAAAATAATAATATAATATCGTATAGAGGATTTGAATCGTATTGCTTGGAGAGAGAAATTGTGGTCAAAAATGACTAAGGAGAAAAGAAATGAGGGAAATGGTGAAGATGGAGGTAGGCAAGAATATTTAGGCTAAGGTTCATTAGAAATGGTGAAATTAAATTGGTCATCTATTAGGATTAGAGACCAAGTTCCTAAACAGATAAGAATAAAGTGGCTTGTGCCAGAGCGATAAAATCATTGCTTTCTCTTTATCTGTTCCATTTATCTTGCTTGCAGACAATCTAGGTATTACTATTCATTTCGGTCCAAGAAGACAATGGTCTCCTGTTTGACATCATGACATCAAGGTTCTTCTCTGATTATCCATCCTGGCAGAAACACCCAGGGATGGGGTCTGAGCTTAATTCTCACATATTCAGTCCCTAGGAAGTGACTGCTATCACTAGCTTTCATCCAAGCAAGCCTAACAGAGACTTTTCCTATACAACAGGCCCCAAATTATGCTAGCCTCCCTCAAGATCTTATAAGAAAATTACCAAGAGACTAAAATTTTCAGATTTAAGACCTCCCACCAATGAAAAATAAGTATTCTTTCATTTTCTTTTTCAATTACCATTAACTTTCCATGAAGGATACACTCTTTATTAGTGCTACATAAGATTTTCTGTGACCACTGGTTAAACACTTATATTTAAATGTTTCTTCAGAGTTAGACAAGTTAACAAAATAACATGAGTTTTCCTTTATTTTCAATTATTTTTTAATTACAGAAAGAATGTGAGCTAAATGGAATTAAAATGAAATAAGCCAAATGGCTTAGACTAGCTTTTATATTCTTCCAAAACTTATGAACCAAGACACAATATGACTGCTTTTCTATTTCAACCTTTTATTTTTGGGATAAAGGATCATTCACCTACAATATAATATAAACTGTGCTGATAATATTTATTTATATAGGTGGTTGAAGTTTGAAGAAGATGTGGAAGATGGAGGAGAAAGGTGGAGCAAGCCTTATGTAGCTACTCTTTCATTGCACAGCTTGTTTGAGTTGAGAAGTTGTATTCTGAATGGAACTGTGTTGCTGGACATGCATGCCAACACTTTAGAAGAAATTGCAGGTATATCTTTTCTCCCTTAGTCTATTTTATAGGTACAGCTACTTTTTTGTTATTCTCTTTTCCTTGTAATTCAATATATGCATGAACTTTGGAAAACTATCCTCATAATCACTGTATGAGGCCTTAAAAGTCATTTTCTTTTACCCTGTTATTCGAGATAAAAGAAGTTGAATCTCAGAGAAATATGCTCTAGGTTGGCAGTGCCAAGTCTAGGACAAGAACCTAGATATCTTGATTCCCATTCACCATTCATTTTCATTATTAGACTCTCACCATTAGAAATTTAAAGGAAAAACCCTTAAAGCTACTTATTTTCAATATCCAAACACATGAAATCACCAAATGAAAAAATTTCAATAAACAGAAAAATGTTGGTTTAGAATGGACACAGAAGAGTATGGCCATTTATTTTAAACTTAATTAAAACCCTTGAATTCCAGAGGAAGCCAAGTGTTATAGTTAGGATTTGTTTTGTAATTCAATACTGCAGCCTGATAAATGATTAGTATTAGAATTCAATGATGTCTTATAATATAGACAGCTATATTTAGGAAATGTTACTATTACAGAAATTGAGTCAAAGAACTCCTGTATCTTTTGACCAGAAGACAAACATATTTTAGTAAAGACAAAATAATACAAAAACACAGAAATAAGTTTTGAAAGTATATAAATGAAATAATTGATGGAGGTTTTAAAAATACAAACAAAGAAAAGAGACAGTTTAAAAATTATTAGTTTGGGAAAAAATAAAATTTGTTCCATATGATATGTATTTGTGAAGTGGAAAAACTTAGTATCTTAATTATATTGTAGAAATGAAAAATAAATTATATGTGTGTTAATCATATATAAAAGAGAATTATATATTAGAAAAATAACATATCTACTTTAATCTGCAGAACAGCCCCATGAAGTAGATGTCATTCTCATTTTCCAATCAGAAAATAGAAACTCTAAAATTGTCATGACCTAGATTTCACCCAGGGGCCCCTGACTTTAAGCCCAGTGTCTTTTCTGTTACACTACAACTGCTGTCTGAAGAAAAAGAGATGTCTTGAAGTGAATGTCACCCAAATTTTGATGGCACATTTATCACCTTAAAAATTATTGATTTAGTCATTGGTGCTGATAGGCATTGCAGTATATGTGAAAAGAACAGTAAGTACTAAAAGATACTTTGGCTTGATTTATTAAACAAAAATTCCAAAAAATCTGAAACACATACACGGGTGCGCGCGCGTGCACACACACACACACACACACACACACACACACTCTGCCCCAAACAGGAAAGATAAGCAGTCCTCTTCTGTTTCATGTGACACCTGTAAAGAGATTATTCTTTAAATTACATAACTAGAGCCTAAAATACTTTATAAAGTTAAACATATATGTATAATTTTCAGAAGTATCCAGGCTACTGTAGCTGCAATAAATCAAGAAAAAATGGAGAAAATGATTAACTCAGAAATAAACAAACTCTCTAAGAATGCTGAAATAGGTAGCTATCCAGCTCAGTTTCTTAGCTTTACATTATATGGTCTTGCTAATACCCATTAAACATTTTTATATTTTAATTAGGAATGAAACAGCCGGGCTTTTCACAGTACTTCGAAGTATGGGAAGCTCTTAAGTTTGTAATTATCTTTTTCATACTCAAACCTGGTTCTTAGTGTTATTATTGTTTTCCTTATTTAATAAAGAAAGAAACTAAGATTTAAAAGGTTAGAGGCCTTGTGCTAAGGGATTTATTTTCACTGCTTGAATTGATGATGACGCTACCTTTGAAAATAGATTAATCCAAATACATTTTGAAATGGGAAGTGAAACTGTCACATTCTACCACCTGGCAAAATTAGCCTCAGAACACACCCTTTACACTTTTACCAGTCTTTACATTTCTTAAGTTATGTAATTTCTAATGCTTTCCTCAGAAAGTTATTTTTATGAAGAAATTTTCTCCCAGTAATTTGACTAAAACACTGTTCATTTTATCACCTTAGTTCACTTTCATTGTCTAAAATTATGCAACTTTTTCCTAACTCTGTCCCTTTCCCAAGCTCAATTCTGTAGAATATGTGAAGGTTAACTGGGTTAAATCTAGCCTTTTCAAGCAAATTACATTCTCTAAGTCTATCCTTACAGTGAAAGTAGTTCAGTTGACGTCTTGATACCCTAAATAGCTTTTTAGTATTCTTTCTGCTCTTCTAATTAGTGTGTATCTTTCTGACTTTGAAGTAGCCCAACCTGAATGTCCCATTTTTCAGTGCAGAGCAGCCTGTAAAATGACATTTAGAATATGTCAGTGGTTTAATGCTAACATCACAAAGAAAAATATGATTACAAATATCTCTGTTGATCGTTATTACCTTAGATTCCTTTACAATCATTACTGAGAAGAGATTTCCTCTCATTGATAACCATAATTTGACTAAATTTAAAAGTTACTTATGTATCCCCTCAATATAATCTCATTAAAATATTTTCTCCCCATAGTTTGTAATTATATTCTTATTTTTTACTTACTCCTATTTTCATTTTATAAAAATTGAGCTGCGTTACTAAGTTTGTAATAAATAAGCATGCTTTCCGTTTTTAAGACTTCTAACTTTGCAAAGTATTTTCACATAATTATGTTTTATTATCAAAGCAACTTATAAAGTAGGAAAGAAACTATTTCACCGTAAACAGATAAATAGAAAGTTCTTTATCAAAGATGACCTTTGCAGAAATGGAAATAATTTTTTAATTAACCTATAATCATAATTTTTGGGGTATGGGGGTCTCACTATGTTGCCCAGGCTGGTCTTGAATTCCTGGGTTCAATCAGTCCACCTGCTTCAGCTTCCCAAAGTGCTAGGATTACAGACATGAGTCACTGTGCCCAACCATAATTTCTGTTTTATTCTGTTTCATGATCATTTGTGGCCACAGTGATTAACAGTCAGCTCTGAAACTTTTCCCTCAACTCTTATTTATCATGATTTTTCTCTGTTAGCCATAATTCACATACATTAGTCACTCATTTCAGCTTTACAAAAGCTAAGTGTCACAGTTTACCTTTAAGATTTCTAATCCCTAGTACTTTGTGAATGCACAGGCTTTGCAGTATTGATGTTTTTCAGACATTTCCTACTAGATGAATATGACCCAGATATTGTTTTGTAATGATCAAGGATTTTTATATCAATGTTCTGATATGTTTTTAACAGACTCAGATAATTCCTTAAGATATTTTCGTAGACTTAGTAGCAGAAAATCCCATTTGTATCTGGCAAGTCTGTCAAAAATTTCTGGTATAATTAAAGTAGGATTTTCTTTTGGCTAAAGTTAATTTAAAATGTATCTATTTCCCAATGTTTCAGGAAACTCAATAAATTTAAACTTTATCCTTCAAAATATTACTTAACCTTTTCAAATCCAAAATTCTCCGGATATATCTTCTTACCACAATTTACTCTGATATGGAGATTAATTATATTGAATATGCTTCTCAATTATATTCATATAAATTACAGGGAATTTTATGGTCTATGTTAATCTCTTTGAAATTAAGCATTATAAAGATTAATGATGGAAATATCCTCTCTTCAGTGTGTGTATACGTTAACCTAATTCTGTCAATGAGAGTTAGGAAGAAATTAAAACCAAACCAAAGTTAGTACCATGGACAGATTATCAATCATAGCTCCCAACTTATTTAAACAACCTTTGTTGTTTAAAATCTTTCATTGAAGGAAGAATCTGCAGTTTGCTCCACTGAATGTAATTTGTAGATATGGGAGTATAGGAATAACCATATATTTTTTAACATGCCTATACTGTGACAATCCTTGGTCTGAAAAGTAAATATTCTATTACAGTTTACACCTTTAGCACACACATCCCTGTTAGTGCTGGCAACCAAACCACAGAATTTAGGAATTTCATATCATATTCCCCCCCACCTCCCCCAATATATTTTACAGTTAAGACAATGGGTTTTCAAAGCATTGATATGATGATCTTCAAAAAGACAGAGATTTATATAGAATCTGCAATATGTCATAGCCTCTAGGGGCTTTCATTCAAGATACGTTATGATAAAATAGTTACCTGATAGGATGAAAAACAATTTTTCATTTTTCTGAGGCCGTTTTCCACAAGTGCTACTAGTTTTTCTTTTTTTCTTTTTCTTTTTTGAGACGAAGTCTCGCTCTGCCGTCGGGCTGGAGTGCAGTGGCGCGATCTCAGGTCACTGCAACCTCCGCCTCCCGGGCTCAAGCGATTCTCCTGCCTCAGTCTCCCAAGTACCGGGGACTACAGGCGCGCGCCACCATGCCCAGCTAATTTTTTGTATTTTTAGTAGAGACGGGAACTCACCATGTTGGGCAGGATGGTCTCAAAGTGCTACTATTTTTCTAGAACCTGCTTAGTGTTAGCAGAGTGTAAGAGTGTGACCTATTTGTCCTTTTTTTTTTTCTTGCTTTTTCGCTTTTCATCCAGATCCTGGGGCAGAATAGACTGTATTATGTAGGCATCATAGCTTGCTGAGATTGCAGGACTTCACTCTGGACCAAAAGTCATTATGGTCCATTATTCTTTCACACTTTTCAAGTTAATACTGATATATATGTAGTGGGGAAAAGAACAATGTGAGTGATTACTAATTCAGATTCCTTTTGGTACCTAAATGTCACCCTAATATGTTATATTCTTAAGCAAAATGAGTAATTTTTTTCCAGACAAGTAAGATATAATTTGATACAGTTATACTTTGGAGAAGTTTGCTGTGTATTTCTCTGTAACTAATGAACAGATGAGTGTGTTTTTTAATATTTACTTTTCCTTACGTAACTGTTTCAAATAAAAATCTTATCTTTGAAAAACTGTGAAGATAGTGACCTATGGGTTTTATAGTGTTTGAGCCTGGAAACATTGTGCTTTAATAGAAATTAGAAATCATAAACATATGCAGGGTTTATTATGTGATTACTTTTGATTCTGACTAGAATATTGAACTGGGAATTCATATCATGGCTTATATTTGGAACTGCCTTACAATAATATCATATTGGTATTCTAATAACCTACTTTACAACTTCCATTATGAAGCATATGCATATTTTGTATACATTTTTCCATCTTGGCAAGGTTTCAGTGTAATGTCATATATGTTGACAATTTATTATTTCCTTTATTTCAGATTAACCCAGGGGTATTATAACTACTGATCTCCAAAGAACTGAAAAATAGATTTAAATATTATTCTATAGTATAATACATTTTCAGAATTGGAAGGGACCTTTGAGGTAATTATAGTGACTGACTTTCAAACATTCCAGGTATATATTATGGGTGACTTCCAAATATTCATTCTACCTCTTTCCATTGTACACACAAAAATGATACAGCACACATATATCCCATGTGCCAAATATGGCCGACTGCCTGATTTCATAGGGCATTTGAGCTAAGAATTGGGATTATATTTAAAATGGTTGAAAAATGATAAAAAAGAAGTTAATATGTTGTGATGTGAATGTTATATGAAATTCGAGTTTCAGCATCCATAAAGAAGTTGCACTGGAGCATAACCAGGTTTATTTATGTACATGTTGCCTGTGGCTGCTTTCCTGCTACAAAGGCAAAATTCAGTATTTGTGACAGAGATCAGATGGCCTACAATGCCTGAAATATTTATTATCTGGCTCAGGACAAAAAGAGCTTGTCTATCTCTGGTTTAGAGAATTAACTCTAGATTGAAGTGCAGTTCTTGATTAGCCTGTCAGTAATATGAATACCATCTCCTTTGCCAGTGATTGGGTTCAAGATGGGCAGGGCTATGTCAGTAAGACTTAGGATAATTTTTCCTGGCCAGGTGAAAAATAACTCATCTAAGAGAAAGTCACAAAAAATATATTTCTCACTGCATATGAACAAAAATATATATTTCCTTGTTGTGGCTGGAAGCCATCTTATGACCATAAGGAAAATCAGCCTGAGGCTAAAGCTTACCCTAGAGGAGGGGGAAGTTAACAAAATCACAGAGAAGCAGAATTAGAGCCAACCTAACTTTGATCTTTCTATTATGTGAGCCAATAAAATTGTTTTAGGTAGTTTAATTTAGGTTTTCTGCTATTGATAAGCCCAGCTTTGTCTCTAATTGATAAACTGTTATAAAATATGAATATATTGAAACCACCACAAATTTCAAACCAGGAACCCATAATCTACGTAATGAAAATTGCAAAGAAAATCCTGTTCTGGGAAATATTTACTGATAGCCTCAATATTCCAATCAGTGCATCAGGTGCCTTATGCCAGTCTTGGCACCAACATGTGATATAGATATTATTATCTCCATTTTATAAATAAGGACACTGATGTTATTCAACTTTGCAAAGTCATCTAGCTAGAATGTCATAAAGTGGCCCAAATCTGTCCCCTAGTTCATTTCGGCTTCACACTGAAGGGAAATACTGTTGGTAAGGCAGCATTCTGCTAATTTTGAAACCTTTATTGTACTCAAAAAGGCAGTGGAAGGCAGCTCATTGCGATCTGCTTTACATAAGATGTTAAATGCCTTAAAAACAATTAGAGTTAATATTTGATAATCAGAAAGTAAACTGATTACACATTCACTGATGTGATCTTTATATCACTAAGAAACTTAAAATACCTTTGCTTATCTACTTTATTGACATTTTTGATACTCTATATGGTAAATAATCTGCTTAATTATAGACTTCTGAAATCTCACCTTCCAGTCTTTGTTTTGCAGGTATAAAATATCTTTTTAATCTAACATTCTCAAGGGAGTGTGTTTCCAGGAAAGTTTGAGAAAGGGCTGATTTTCTATCCATATGAAACAGAATTGTTTACTCTCCAAATTCAGTAACTATATCACTTCATAGGCCTCTTTGCATCGGATTTTCACAGATAGACTTCTGTTCACTTAACGAGGAAACAAGGAAATTAGTCTGTACTAGAAAATGGGAAAAATATTAAAATATAAGTATAAAACCAATTTCCAAATTCAAACACATTATGAATTGTGAATTCAAACACATTATGAATTTTCATATCATCTCTACAGCTATTCCACCCATCAGTGTGAATAATGAAGAAATAACTTTCTTCTCAATGCAACTATTCCCCTTTGAAAAATAATACTTCATAAGAATTATATATTTAAAATAGAATGATTTATAATGAAAATTTGCCCCAAATCTTTCTTGTGCAACATTTCTACAATGGAACATAAATTTCCATTTATAACACCATGCTTAGGAATTTTTTTAAAGAAGTTATTTGTATTTCAAGATGACTAATATTGTTTAGGGCTTGCATATTTGAACTCAGTGATTCATGGCTGGCACATGTTCTAGAGGAAAGCTGTATTCATCTTCTTCCGGCCTCTTCTCTTCAGATATGGTTCTTGACCAACAAGTGAGCTCAGGTCAGCTGAATGAAGATGTACGCCACAGGGTCCATGAGGCATTGATGAAACAACATCATCATCAGAATCAGAAAAAACTCACCAACAGGATTCCCATTGTTCGTTCCTTTGCTGATATTGGCAAGAAACAGTCAGAACCAAATTCCATGGACAAAAATGGTAAATGTTTGTTTGTTGTGCTCTTTATGTCTACTATAGGTCTCTGACATATCAAAGTGCTTCTAAATCTTTTAAAATTTGTTTTATTTGAAAATGATTTTTTGAAATTCAGATTATTGTAGAATTCTTTTTACATGAGGATATAGTCTTATTATCAAGCATCAAATTGTAAAACTTTTAGAAAAGAACTTAAGTTTCCTGAAAGGCTCAGGAAAAAATACAAAAAAAAACTAATATTTAATAAAAAAAAAAACTTTTAGATTTGCTGCAGAAAACATAAACAGAGCATCTGTGGCATAACAAATAAGGTCCTAGTCTCTGTCCTGTAGCTTAAAAATGTAATGCGGGGCTTTGACTTATGCCATAGATGGTGTTTTCATTTAAAGGAATCATGATCATCATCTAGTGTTTGTGGAAAAAAGATACTGGTTTCATGTTGCTCATAGTTAACAAATTCCCATTAGACAAAATGATTGAAAAGACCAGCCAGTGCATTGCTTGTGACTTTACCTACATTATGGCTGATTCCGGTTCAAGGGCTCATTGCTGTTTGTAATGTGGCATCTTCAACATCCATGGAGCCACCCCACTGACCATTTTCATACACCAATATAGATGACCACCATTGTTTCCTAGCAATCTTGACTTTCTATGATTTATGCTTCGGACTCTTTTATCTTTCCTGTATTTTTTGTTCTCTCCTTGCATTTATTTAACCCCTGATCATTTGCACTAAGGAAGTTGCTTAGGAATCTCCTATTGTCATCCATCCTTTCTATTAGTCTCATGAAAGAAAATGAAGTTACCATGAAGATGGTATGAATTTGTTAAACTTCTATCAGCTTTAAAGTTTCCAGTTCTAAAAGATAAAAATTAATGAAAAGTATTTTCAAATGCTTTACTGGAAAGACTGATTTCCACAAATGGATGAAAACACATGTAGTGACAGCATGAAATATCATGTAATCTCACCCTATTTTCAAAAGCTTCAGAGATGCCTTAAATAAAATGTATGAAAATTAGTTTTCTCCAGATTTGCTTCATATTAATCAGTTTCCATACTACTGAATCAAATATACATTAAAAATGTAGAATAAATGCTTTATTAAATAGATAAAGATGATTAGATGTAATTTTGTCTCAGAGCATAGAACCAGTTCTTAATGACAAAATCATTTTTGAAATACTCATTTGATTTTTGGGACTTTTCAGTGACTGAATATAAGTCATTTTTGTTACACAAAAGAGTCTATAGTTGTGCACACATTAAGTTCAATAAAATTATTATGAATACTTTATAGTAAATACCAACTTGTGTTTGTAGAGTCCACTGAACATTCTGAGGAGGTATAACTTGCTTTGAATCAAATCATATATTTAAAACATATTTTATTCTAAATCACAATTTGCTTTAAAATAAGTGATATATAAGATAACAAAACTTGAGGCTTTTATATTCTAAGAGATGTATTACAAATGCTGTGCTTTTGTTATGCTTATAATGCTAGTATTTATTTGGTATGGCAATGTTAAAACAGAGTCAGTTATTTACAATTTTGGCTATGGGCTTATGTCTACATGACTCCAAAAACTTTATTAAAATGTACCCAAGAATTAACTTCTAAGAATGCATGCAGATTTTATAAAAATGGACTTTTGCCTTCATAACCTTTGCTAGAAATCAGATAATAAGATATATGTCTTTAAGAAAGAGATGTGTTTCTTCAAAGAGGCAAGGATCTTGCATTTTGAACTAGTTAAAATTTATACCTTAAATTTCACTGGAGATAATGTTTACTCTAACAATAATTTCATGACTTTTTTTTTGAAGTAAGATGCTATAGAATTTATTGGATCAATGATTTATTGTAATGTGCAGATCTAGGCACACTGTTTGTTACTGCTTTAAACTTCTATTAAACATAAGAGGAGATGGTAGAATTATAACTGTGAATTACAAATCTACATATAGTCACAAGGTTTTCTGAGAGCCTGCTTTTTGTCTTATTTAAGAAACGGTTTAGTTTTCCCGAAAACTAGAATCTGAGTGATTCTGAAGTGATTCTGTCACCATCTGTACAATCAGCCTTTATCTGAACACATACAAATCTTTTTGAGGCATACGTAAGGGCAATAAAAACTTGGAAACATTTCTAATAAGATTCATATACCCAATTAAGTATTGTTGTAGAGTATGCTGTCAGAAGTGGTTTTCTAAGCCTAAGCTTATAACACCTCCTTATGACTCTGTTTTGCTTCCTTACACACTTTGCATAATTATGTGTGTTGAGAATTCTGAAAATATGTATAGACTTCACCAATTTAGAAATAAATCTCCTACCCAAAAATGAAAAAAGTACGAAAGACCTTTACTACTGAGGTTCTCAATCTACTTAGGAATTCTAAGGCCTGACAAACTCTAGATATATAAACAAATTGAAATTAATAGCCATAAATATGAATTGGACCTTCTGTTCTAAATATGCAATCTAGATTTAAAATTTTGTGCAATAGTTCAGAGAGATGCAAAAGGATTTAAAAACATCAAAAAAGTAAAGGTAATACTATTAATTTTTTTAAATCCTTAGTAAAATCCATTATGCAAAAAGATGGACTTTTTTAAAAAAGATTATAGAATAGAAATTAAATAGGGCAAAGATTTTTCCAGAAACTTTAAAACAGAATACATTTTCCTCCCTAAGCATAGTGGTAGAAATAAGTCCCCGTTTCATGTTTAATGTGCTGAAATTGTCTCAAAAACAAACGGAAGCTTATGTAGATAAGCCTGAAAGAGTCATATAGAATAAAGTTTCTACTTCCTTAATTGACTTGTGTCTTGAGCATGTTACCTTGTTAGTACTCTCTGGGGTTAAACATTCAGACACTGTATTTCAAATGGGGTCTTCCCTGTTTTATAGATTAGATTAATAAAATAGTGCATTTCCTTGCTCTTCTCCTTCCCAAGTCTACCATTCTTTGTCCATTCCTTTTTTAGTGATTTGTGATAATTTGTCAGTCTCATCTCAAAACACACTAGTTAACTTTTCTTGGTATTCTGCATTCTCTTCAGGGCTAATGTGAAGGATGCTATGGATTCACCATGCATTTTTAATGCCACCATGCTGTGTTTAACTTTCACTTTTCATTAAGCATCAAAACTGTGAGAATTAAATATCTGATTCTAATGTTTCAATAAAAAGTGACAGTTACATTTGGCAAAACAACAGCAAAAATAATAGAAAAATAATATCTACTTTGACATTAGCACCCTGAAAAGGGTATGGATGGTAAAACACTCAAGATAAATATATTGAAAATATTAAAATAATTATTTGGACTAGGAAGATTTTCTAAAACTAAAAATAAGACTTTTGTGTTAAGTGATCTAGAAGGCAAAATTTATCAGTATCTGTATTTATCATTTAGGTCATGTATTCAATTACCTTTTGAGACATTGGGATTATAAATCTATTATAAAATATTATTATCCTTATGATAACTTTTATATTTTTGAAGATAATTTGGGATTATTAGTTTTGTTAAGTATAGGGTGTCTTTATTCTGCTCTGTCCTTTACTAATAATTTCTAACTCTGTTTGTTTTCCTTCACATATCTTTTGTCTCTCATAATCTGAATACTTTCCAGTTGTACCTTTTATTTAGGATCTCAAAAGGTGTTACAGTGCAGAAAGTCTCTAACTACTGTTCAATGCCATAGTTTACTGAAAAACAGTTAGACTTGGGAGGACAGGACATAAAGTTCACTCTTTAGGCCTGGGTAGATTTCAGACCTTAAAGCAATGTACACATATGTATTGTGCATAATATTTATTTATACTTTTGGAAATCAGATCTATTGCATTATAGTTACTTCTTTTACAAATGCTGTACTTTTAATTTTCAGATGCATGTTGTCTTTACGTATTTAGATATTATGTATTTTGTATTAGATATTAAAAAATGCTTTCTTGCTTTTTTAATACAATGGTCTCATAAATAAGATATCCAAGGTGTAAAATTTATCCCTCATAATGTTCTACCTTTGAAGAAAAAATAAAGCTAGAATAATAATTCTTAAGATTGCTTGAGACAAACTTATTAAAACATTTGTGTATATTAAATAATTAAACATTGTTTAATAAGTATGATATTTTCTAGTCTTCCAAGAAAATCAAGATGACATTGTTGACACAACTGATGGGCCTGCCCAGAGGCTATATTGTCATTACAGTTTTGGAATGTCAAGACTAGATCTTAAGAGCGAACATAATTCTAGTATGATGTGTTTGGATTTGTTATTTCTTATATTGCATTAATGATTTTCAGGCACACGAATTTTTCTCCAAGTTTAATTGTTTGCATACTTTTCATGTTTTTGAAGTGTAGCTCACCTAATCAGCATTTTCTAAATATTTAGCCCTTCTTTCTTTATGTTTTCTATTCCCATGAATAAATGTATTGTTACACATGTATGTAACTTTGTCATTCATCTTTGTATTTCTTTATTTTGCTCTGTCTTATGTCTGTCTCTAACAGGCTCATCTCATCTCTGTACTCCCTCATCTCCTACCCTTTGGGTACTCTAAATGCGTTGAAGGTTTCTGAGGTAGTGTAAACCAGCTTGGTCTCTAGGTTAATAGTAATGTACCTCCATGTCTTCATCCCAGTTTCCTTCTAGTGCACGTAATTTACAGTGGATTAAGCAGTAGAAAATAATGATACATTTATGCAATATATTCTATTGATATGAATTTGGCCAAATATAAATTTTAAAGTTGCTAAGCTGCTGTTTTATAATACATATGTGCATACTTTACTTAAAGAAGAGAACTATAGCTAAAGACAAATGAGTTAATATAACACTCAACAGGGTTTTTGAGAATATACCTTTTTTTCCCAATAATGAGGTGCTTTAATAATACTACTATTACTTAAAGTCATAAAATAGTACTTTTGATGTAATCTCATGTTCCTTCCCTACAACTTTATGATAAAGAAAATGACTTTGCCAGTCTCATAATACACTTAGTGAAAAATGTATGATGTAACAAGCAGAAAAACAGCTTCATTTTTCTAGTTAGTATTTACTCAAAATACTCTCAGTTTTCTCCTATGCTAGCCCCATATCTATTATAATTTGCCCTAGAAAAATACATAGTCTGTAATAATTTTTATCTGACACGTGTGATCTCTCCATGAAGGCTCAGAGGAAAAAAATGAATTCATAACTCAAAGAAAAGTAATTCAAACAGGTGCTAATATGAATGCTATATAATATATATCTTAATTGATAAGATGTCAAACAAATATTAGAAATTTTGATTTAAGGTGAAGAACTCTTGAGCTTAACAGGTCAGAAATGTGTGTTTAATAAATAGCAAAGAAGATATTAGGTTTCTCAAATGTTTCCATTTACATTTAAATAGTCACAGATACTAGTTAACCATAGTGATATCCACTTTTCATCAGTTTTTAAATAACTTACCCTGAATATAATAAGATTACTCAATTAGTGTCTTTTTTCATAGTCATCCTCATGCCTCAAAATTATGTATGTATTATAAAAACAGAAATAATTAAACATTGCAGTGACATTCATTTATAGGAAATAATATGGGCAGTGATTAGTAGACAAAGGTAATATAAAGAAACAGGTAAAAAGCATTTGTTTGTAAGTACTGTAGCATAGCACTTTAAAAAAATTACTGTATACAATTAGCATTCATAAAGCTTTCACACATATATGAGTGCTAAATCCTAACCTTATACTAATTTTTTCCATGAGGGGAAAATATCCTAGCAAATTCTTTGTTATTCTATTAGGAAAATATTCACTTCTGGCTGAAGATAAAATTCTGTACATGAAAATTATCATTCTATGAACCACTATTGCCTTAGACATCAGCAAGAAAATAAGAGATGCCCTTCCAAAATCTGAATTTATTGATTCTTCTTGTGTAATAGCATTTCAGTTAATGAAATTAATTTTGAAATTTAATCCATCAACTTCTTCTGAAAGGTGGTAATAATTGGCATAAACTAATTGGCATAAAGAAAAATATATTTAAACAATGATTACAATTGATAATAGAACTATAAAATTATTTTTAATTTATGAGGTTTCAATTCATTCTATATACTATAATTCATGCATGAATATTAGTTTTATATATACAGCAAATAAAATGTTAAACTTTTTAAAAGACTTCTATTTTTTCAAAATAACCCAAATCAAACCTGTTAGGTTAATTTTTAAATAGTATCTCTTCATTGTTCTACATACTACCAAGTTGTGAAAACTGCCTTGAGGATATACACATTTAAGTGTATTGTTTCAACTTTAGCAAATTAACTTACATTTTTGGAAATAATAGACAAGAAATAATAACAAGATTTGAAATGCTATTTAAACTTTGCAGGACTTTTGATGTCATTAAGTATATTTAACTATGAATATTAACTCCTATTATTTAACTACTGCTCTGAAATATAAAAGATATACAATTTTTGGTCTTTTTGTCTGTCATAGGCTAGTTTTCGTGACTTTCTATATTACCATACATTCTATAGACATATCTAAAATCTAGGACTAGCAAGAAGTTTACTGTCATCTGATATGTCTCCTGCTAGTTAAACTCTCAACTAGGTCATTATCAACATCACTTAAAATATTTATAAAAAATAGTTTCTAAATCCCTTGTTCATTATCAACCTTATAAAGTAATATTTTATAAAATTGTTCTTATTTTAGAACAAGAATAGCATACAACAATAAATCTCAAAATATATTACTTATTATAATTATTACATAAATATTAGTTATTAATTACTGTAATTATTTACAAGGAGAAATACAAGTGTTAATATTTTAAACATACTGCCTGAGCTGAAGGTAATTTATGAAATGCTCTACTTAAAGTATACAAATGAATACATAACGTATTCAATTTGTTCAAATTTTAAGTTCCACATATTTTCTATCCAATTCAAAATTTAATCTCTTCAAAGTTAATGACTTTGCACTGGGTTGACTTTTGTTTTGTATGTGTTTGGTGATAGAACTAAATAATTGTTCTTCTGTGTAGATTTATACCACATGAAATGATTTATTATAAGAAAGCAGGTATATGTGTATTTAATTTATCCATGACTTGAATTTCACCACTCAATTTTACAGAGCATTCAATAAATTTAATTTTAAATATATCTAATGTTCTAACTCTTTAAAATATGGAGAAATGATGTGAAACTGGTGATTGAAGACATCCGTTAGTAGCACAAATGCATTATATAAAAGGTTTTTTTAAAACTATAGTTATTATTTTGAGAATGGTAAATTGAATGGCTGCTAATGAACAGTTCACAGTCATAGCTGCACATTGCGGTTAGAAATGGGAGAATGAAAATAATTTATGTAGCTTGTGTGACATTTATCTGAAGTTTACATATTTCCCTAGAATATGCTATAATCAGAATTTGTGAACATGGTTTGAGGTGAACTTATTTTAAAAAGTCATTTTATTTTCATCTTCTCCAAATATATTATTTTACATTTTTTAATGAAAGTAGTGAAATCCTTAAGTTCTAGAATAATATTAAGCCTATTACTTTCTGGCATTATAACAACTTTAAACCATACAATTATTCCTATTAATAAATGACCCCTGCTTGAGAGGCTTACTAGTCTAAAAAGCAAACTTATAGTAATTTTTGAAAGTAAATAATTAGTATTTTTAACCTCAGTTGTTAATTTCTAGGTAACAAAGAATAAGTGGACTTTCAGGAGAGAATTTAAAGGAAAGGGTTTTTGTGGGGGTTTTTTGCATTTACCCTGGGAGCTTAGAGAAGTTCAGACAGAGACCAAAGTGATTAGAGATGACACTAAAGGTGAATTTAGAATAAAGTTGGGATTTAGGTAAGTAGAGAGAAGAGCCAGGCAGAGAGAGTGTTTCTAACATCTACAACTGATGTGAATAAAAGCACTATTTTGAGTCATTGAGTTATTATCATAAATATGGGCAAGACTTCAAATTTGAATTGTCATTATTCATTTCACAGAAAAAAAGATGGGGAGACATTTAATTTTCATTGCATTGCTAACTATGAACAAATTTAATATGATTTACTGCAAACAATGTTTCATATTTAGTGAATGATGGAATTTAACCCTTTCTAGTCATTGCCACACTCCCAGTGCTACTATCCACTGAACTCTCATCATCTTCCCTATAATAGGGAAAAGAACTACAGGATAATTATGTTTTAGTTTAGTGTTAATGCAAAACTAATACAATTCAAGTTTTTATCTTTTCTCATATCACAGACTAATATCAGTATGCTTATATAATAGAATAATCAGAGGCATAAAATCATATCCGTAGTGTTCATACTATGTGAAATAAAGGTATTTCTAACCGAACCCCCTTATATAGACTGTAAGAGTTATGGCCAAAGAACTTTTTTTCATTGGTTTGGCTTTTTAGATGCAATAAAACCTAAAAATATACTGTGTATTTTTCTGATAAATATCCGTCCTTTTTAATGCTTTACATTTTAAATTCTTCAGGCTGAGCTTAAATCTTAACAGATGTCTATCTTGTCTTTTTATATATACCATTAGTTTTGGTTGAAATCTAGAAATCAATGATGCTTCAAAATCCTGGTAACATTTACATATTTTTGTATATAATCCTTATTGAAAATAATCTTTTAGAGTTTTTATCTGAAAATTGGTTTAATTTTTTACTGAATTCTCCCATTTCTACCTGTAACTAATAATAAGAATGTTTGTATTAATATAGATCTATTTATATTGACCCTTCATGCTTACATCATAAATTCATTAAGAAACCTGTTAGTCTAGTTTAATTGAAGTGCCTATTTCACTCAGTATGTCTATAACTATGTAAGTAATTGTTTGTATTCTGTCACAACAATCTCTTTTAGCAGGTCAGGTTGTTTCTCCTCAGTCTGCTCCAGCCTGTGTTGAAAATAAAAATGATGTTAGCAGAGAAAACAGCACTGTTGACTTTAGCAAGGTGAGCTTTTCTCCCTCTCATCTAAATAAGTTGCTAAATTACTACTAGAAATTACTACCCATTTTAAGAGGTGTTGACACAATATTTTGCATGCACTTTTTTTGTTTCTTGTCAAAGCTTGATATTGTTACAGATAATGTTAGCATTAAGTCCACATGTAACATTTTGCCTATTCAAAAAAAATAAAAAATAAAAAACCTGAACCTGTGAGTTTTATGCATAGTATTCATGTTTCAGCCACTTGGTATAATGTTCTCTCTTCCAATAAAAGGAATAACTGGGCTTCACAGGGAATTTAACAGAAGTTTAATCTATTTTTGTTTGTTTGTTTTTGTTGTTCTTTGTTTGAGACAGTCTCGCTCTGTCACCGAGGCTGGAGTGCAATGGCACAATCTCGACTCACTGCAACCTCTGCCTCCTGGGTTCAAGCGATTCTCATGCCTCAGCCTCCCGAGTAGCTGGGATTACAGGCGTGTGCCACTGTGTCTGGCTAATTTTTGTATTTTTAGTAGAGACGGGGTTTCACCATCTTGGCCAGGCTGGTCTCGAACTCCTGACCTCAGGTGATCCATCTGCCTCAGCCTCTCAAAGTGCTGGGATTACAGGCATGAGCCACCACACCCGGCCAAGTTTAATCTATTGTTTAAAAACTTTGGCTAGTATGTGTTCAAAATCTGTTCAAAATCACTTTTCCTCTATTTGTGGGAAAGCAAATCACAATATAAAACTGAATTGTTAATGTAATCAAGGAAAAGTCATTACTGTAAGGAAATCCTAGAAGGACATAGTAAAACTGAGCAGAATTTTAAATAAAAACATATTAAGAACTGACTGTGTTGAGGGATACGTCTAATTGGAGACAACTGAAATGAAATCATTAACTTGAATGTATTCTTAGAAAATGAGTCAATGACGATAATGTGATTTTAATTAGCAAATTTCTGACATTGTATATGTGCCATTGCAAGCTATGGCAAAGTAACAGTTAAGTAGAAAAGAAGAGTTTCTAGCTGGGTGTGGTGGTACGTGCCTGTGGTTCCAGCCACTTGGGAGGCTGAGGTGGGAGGATTGCTTGAGCCCAGGAGGCAGAGGCTACAGTGAACTGAGGTCATGTCACTGCACTCCAGCCTGGGTGATGGAGTGAGACTCCATCTCAAAATAAATAAATAATTAAATAAATAAATAAATAAATAAAGACAATGCAAAAGAGGAGTTTCAATACTTGGTGAAAATATGGCAGGTTAACAATTCTCTTTATCTGAGTGGCTGAAATAAAAGTAACTCAGAGTAATATTTTAATAAAGCCCTTAGCACTGGCAATAATTGTAGTAGTGGGAGGAAGTGGGAATGGGTGGAAGCAGTAGAGAAAGTAGCCTGAACCAAGGTTCTGAAAAGATTAATAGTGATCAGCTCCTTGGACCTGTTTCAGAATCCCTCTGACAATGCCTAAATAATCTAGATCTAGTTATGTGCATGCTCTCCCTCTGGTGCCTGGCGGAGTCTCCGTGGGAGCATGGTGTACCAGCTTAAGTCTGTTAATTATGCGTGCAGGGACTGGGAGGCCAACAAAAGGGGCATACTAGTCCATGTGGGATGAAACAAAGGCATGAAAAAGGACCTCCACACCAGCAAGAGAGAGAGGTGAGGGTATACTTGGGCTCTATTTCTACAGTGGTTCAAAGCTCATTTCACTGTATGGAGACATGTGATTCAAACATTAAGCCAGTTCAAATGTATTCCATCTGCCACTCTAAGAGCTATCTTTTCAAAGCATTGCATCTTCATTCATCTGCAAGTTGGAAAAAGTTGTCACAAACTGCCATACATTTAATTTCTGATATTCTTAATTTGAAATGATCTTAAAAGCAATAATATAACAAGCTGCATATTTATGTATAAACACATTAACAGCATAAAGAAGGCATATTTAACATCCTCAGAAACAATCATTATAAACCACATAGCTCCTCCTTTCAAATAAATTGTGATTTAACTTTTTAAAAATAATATAACCTTTATACACTGATTGTATATCTCCATATCATTTTGCTTTTGGTTGTGTGACCTGTCTTTTCAGCCTTCAAGAATTCTTCATCACATATGAAAGAAAATGAAGATTGCCAGTTGTAGGCAGGAGTCTCATCTTCTGGTCCCCCCAAACAGTTAAAACTATGGAAGAGTCAAAAACCGATTTCCTTTCTTTTAATCCTTTTCTTTCTCACCACATTTGTGATCACTGGCCTGTTTCATCTTTTAATAGGCAAGTTAAATTTCTAGAGCCCTCTACTTAGTGTCAACTGCCTTTAGGCCTCAGTCTCTTGTTCATAGCATGGCACACTGGAAAGAATGTGACTTTTGAGAAAGAGTGTGAGATCTTGAATCCCACCTCTGGCATTATAAACTCTCTGATCTTGGAGAAGTTCTCTAAAGTTCAGCCTTCTCATTTGCAAAGTAGGAAAACTATTTACAATTTCATTGTGAAGATTTAATCAAATAATATATAGAGAGATCCTGGGACAGTGCTCGACTTATAGCAGGTGTTTAATAAAAGGTGGTTAAACTTATTATTGTGGCTATTAGTAGTAGTAGAAATAGTAGTGTCAGAAATGAAACACCAGATCATAATTTAATGTTTTGGTCTCCACTGGGTCTTTAGTGCCTTAAATAGTATTTGGTATGTATTTGTTGAATGAATCCTTCAAGATCCAAAGTAATGTAAGCCTGATTTTGAAATTTAAAAAAGACTGAGTAAGATTTTTTACTTTAAAGCCTGAGAAGGCAGAAAAGTAGAGTTTGAAAAGAGCAGTTGTGATCTATCACTATGGAAACAAATTTTAGTGCCAGATTTTGCAGGTGCATGAGTTGATTTTTTTTAGCCTTATGATTTTAGTTTTAGTAGTGAATTTATCAAAATTCACCTAGTTTCCAGGTTAGTTTTCTATTTTAATATTTTAAGTCAATATGCAGATTCCAAAACCTCAGCATCTTAATATGCAGATTCCAAACATTTTGAGGTGTTAAGAAAAACAAGGTCTTTATTCCTCTCATATGATTTGATCATATTTATTCCATCTACATTCAACCTACATATTTGTAATCCTTCCAATGTATAGACCTGTCACACTTACTTACTTAAGTAATGATTTAGAAAATAACTGAAATTATCAGGTTTTAGCTTCCCATAATACATTTAAAAAGCAGATGTTTCAAAACACTATTTGTTTTTGTTTTTCAAGCTGACAGTAGAACGTAGCTATTTTATGTTGATGGTGTTTTCTTTTACTTCAAATGACCCAGAGATGGCTTCACATAATTTTCTACATAGAAATAACTTTCTTCTGCATCTAGCTTTAGTGTATGAAGCATAGTACAAAGAGTTGTATTATTTAATCCTAGAACTGTAGGAAACCTTAGACATCTCCTCATTTAGTCAGCAAGAAAGCTGAATTATAGAGTGATTAAGAGAGCTGCTCAAGATCACTGGTGAGTTAGTGTCAAGACACCATTTCTTCCCAGAGAATCCCTGTGATGTTTCTTGTACTTTCTATAATGGGCTGAAGGCTTAAACTTTCTCTTTAAATTTCCATCTGTTTTTCCTTTAATTCTTAGTGTGTAGTTTGCCCAGACACTTCCAATTTCACCTTGATCTTCTATCTAATTTCATTCCCTGTTCCCTAGAAATGTAACTGTTTCTCATCCACAGCTTAAGTATCAAATGCCCAGAAAGAAATCTTTCTGTTATTAACATAAAGATGAGGTCTGGAGAGCCCAGAAGCATGAGTGTAAATACAGACCCAGAAGAGTATAGCTTGATTTCTTCAAGATCCTATCCAGAGGACCAGAAACTTCCAGGATTTCCTTCTTGTCCATTCCAAGTGTTTGTGTTCCACTTGACAATTGTCTTAGGGATGTAGTTCAACCTAGATTCTCTAGACCTGCTTTACATATTTATAATTTCATAAGAGGTCACAGTCAGGTCTTTAAACATAATATTTTGTTATATTAAAAGTTGCTTAGGGGGCCAAGGGCATGGTGGCTCACACCTGTAATCCCAGCATTTTGGGAGGCCAAGGCAGGAGGATCACTTTAGCTCAAGAGTTCGAGATCAAGCTAGGCAACATAGTGAGACCTCATCTCTACAAAATCTAGAAAAAATCAGCCAGGCATGGTGGCACACCTGTAGTCCCAGCTATTCAGAAGGCTGAACTGGAAGGATCAGGATGGCTTGAGCCAGGAAGTTCAAGACTGCAGTGAGCTGGGATCGCACCACTGCACTCCACTCTGGATGACACAATGAGACCCTGTCTCAAAAACTTAACCAAACAAAAAAAGATAGTTTGTTTGTCAAATAAGTTTCTTCATGAAGTATATAGTACACAAACACAAAATATAGGGTTGCCCCATAAATAATATAATATATAATTTTACCTAATATAGAATAATATAATTAGATAATACATAATCAATTACTTCCCAAAATATATGATTACTCCAAGAATAATGTAATGAGTATAATACAATGGCTGCCTCAAATATGTGCTATAGAACTGTAACTTATTCCATTTGAAGTCAAAAGATGAATTTGCTTATCCTGAAATTAAATTCTGTATATTTTAATGTTTTTTCTAAATAACAGGTATCAATGATATATTAGCTATTTTGTAAGCTTAAAGATCATGTGTAATGACCATATATTTTCTTTTACAAAATTCAACTATTTTAACATACTATGTACTTATTGATTTAATTAAATTTCATCTTTAAACAGTTATTTCTATAATCACCACCTCCCTGAGGCACAGACTTTAGTAGTTAAGACAATGGCATTTGTCAAGCAATAAATGAGTTTATAGAATTTTCAAGGTGGAATTTAAATTTCAGGCATTATCAATAATTTATATTATCAATTACTAGATTTTTTTTTTTTTTTTTTGAGACGGAGTCTTGCTCTGTCGCCCAGGCTGGAGTGCAGTGGCCAGATCTCAGCTCACTGCAAGCTCCGCCTCCCGGGTTTACACTATTCTCGTGCCTCAGCCTCCCAAGTAGCTGGGACTACAGGTGCCCCCCACCTCGCCCGGCTAGTTTTTTGTATTTTTTAGTAGAGACGGAGTTTCACCGTATCAGCCAGGATGGTCTCGATCTCCTGACCTTGTGATCTGCCCGCCTCCCAAAGAATTACTAGATTTTTTAAAAAGATGTTTTCTCATTTTAAATTTTGTTTCAGTATATTTATATTGTATCATTGTTCTTTCCATTGAGAGAGAAAACTGTTTATTCTTTTAGTAATAGAAAGGATTATGAAATTTATTATGTTTTCCTCACAGAGCTAACAGTCTATGGGAAATCTTCTATTCTCTCCTTGGGAATTTTTGCATTACAATGAAAATGTAAAGCATTACTAATTTAAAGCATCTTAAATCTGTACATTTCTCCTAGCTAGATAAATACCTACAAAAATACCACAACAAATCACATGAAATTTAACCTTACTTATTATAGTAAATAAATACTTTTGCTATCTATACATTAAAAGATCAGGTCCACAAAAGCAAAAATATTTGCTATATAATCCAGTGTACATGAATTATGAATTTACAAATGTATATTTGGGAGTACATTTGTAGCTTAAAATCTTTGGATGTATAATATTTGTTATACATTTTTATAGGCAGTTTTGCTTTGTTAAATCATTCTTCCTTTCCTTTAAAATAAAATAATGATTCTATTTAATATTTTTGATGGAATACTGTAGGATATTTTTACATTTAATCCTTGTGAAAGAATATATGCTTCATATACTAGGTTATATATTTTGTGGTATCCTTATTCTTTGGAAAGATTAATTAGTTGTAAAACTTCCAAATAGCTGTACTATGATCTTGATTTCAGAAAGAAACATATTTAATATAGTCACTAAAGTATTACCATGGATTTTTTCATTTTAAATTTTTGAGACAAATATTCTCAAATCATTAAACCTGCAGAAGAACTATCTAGGCTAAAAAAATCTTCTCAGCCTCCTCATATTTGCCAGAGCTCATTCCTCTCTCTCTCGGCTATTCTCACTTTGATCTTTGGCCCTCATTTCATTAATATCAGAGCATAAGATCAATTACTAGAGCAGATAAATTCTTATTCCCCTAAAAACAGAGCTTCATAAAAAGTAACTCAAGTGAATTAGAAACAAGACATAGATCTTGTACAATTTACATTAAAGTCACTGCTTGTCTTTCACTGAGGCCCTGTACATAAAATTGATACTTATTGTTAAGGATATTTTGCATTCATTTTTTAGACTTCAGCCTTTATTTTTAGCATTTCTTCTTCTTAATGATCACTTTTGCTTTGTGTACATTCATTTCAATCACAAACATCTCATGTCAGAAATTCAACTATAGCTCTTGAGTAACTCCAAATGTTAATATTTTATTCTGATTTTTTCTACTGTGTCATATCTAAATTCTCAGATGAAAAACCAATATTGAAGAATTACCAGGCCAAATATAGAATGTGAAGAATATAGAACAACTAGAAAACAGAAGAAGGTTAAAGTCATAATTTATACTGTAAAGAGAAACATGATTATATTTCTTTTGACATAAGCATATTTGAGTATTAATTAAAATGTATTATGTACAAAAATTAGGTAGTGTAGTATAAAAATATTAAATCTGTTGGCAAATGCTAATTAAATTACGGTTAAAGAATAGTTATTTAACTGAACTCACATACTTTTCCCTGTCTAAAATTTCAAGATTGTTGAGACTGGAGAAACTTTGTTTAAAAATAATTAGTAGAAGAACTAGAGTACTCATCTTATTGATGACAAGTTAAAATAATCCACAAGTAAAGAAAAAAGGTTATTATAGAAAAAGGGCAAATGAGATGTTTAACTGTGTGTATTTATTTAAACTATATTTATTCATGGATTACTATATGTGAAGCACTGTGCAAGAATATGATTTACCAGATTTTTCCAATTTTGATTTATCATATTTACCTGGTGATGCTTGCAGGTTGATCTGCACTTTATGAAAAAGATTCCTCCAGGTGCTGAAGCATCAAACATCTTAGTGGGAGAACTGGAGTTCTTGGATCGAACTGTAGTTGCGTTTGTCAGGTTGTCTCCAGCTGTATTGCTTCAAGGACTGGCTGAAGTCCCAATCCCAACCAGGTAAAGAGTATAAAAGCGTCTTTTGTATTTTTCTTAAACTATCTTTTTGTGGAAAGAAAATGAGGATTCAAGGTAATTTTCTGTTAGAGTTTTGACTAGAAACTAAGTGAAATCCACAAAACTACTATTAATTTTTGTTTGTGAAGGAGGGGAAAAGTGCTTTAAAAATTATTCTAATATTTCCTCCCTTCTCTCAAGCTTCTGTTTCATTTTAGGCATATTCCTCATCTCAAGGTACCTTGAAGCCATATGAATTCTTCTTTTTTTTTTACATTTTTGGTAAAAGAAGTGGTAACATGTTAGCTTTTTCTCAAAGGTTGCATTAAATTGTCTGCTAAAGAAAGAAAGGATCTTGTGCATGAGTGTGGTCAAATTCAGAAATAGCAAAGTTACTAAGGTTTGCTTACACTTGAATAAGAAGGCCTTCAAAATGCATGTAAGTGCCATCGTTAGGATAGCATCAAATATATGTTTCAATCCTAGGCATAGTGGGCTTCCCACACACAGGGTCTGTAGAATTACTGGTAGAAGTATTATCACAGTGTGGTTGAATCAGAGTTAAAAGTACAAATTTAATTTGATGATCGGAACTTGTTTCTCATTTAACAATAAAATAACAACTTAGGGATGATACAAACTGAATTATGCTGTTTCTCATTTTTTAGAATAAGGCTATCCATTACTAAAACTGTAAAAAAAGAAAAAAAGAAAGGACGGAAAAACAGAATATCGACTTTAGCACATTAGGTTCCAAGCAATTTACCCAGAAGCCTTGTTTTCTTCCATACTCCTACCATCAGTGCGATTCCAAAATGCAGATAGCCTTTTACTCTAGTCCTTTCCTGCAGCAAAACATGTCTATTTAGGGCCCCGTTCCCATATGGCTGGTGCCCTTTGTTTGATGCTACAGCTATCTCAAAAGCTGTTAGTGTGCCTCCTCTTCCAAACATTGAATGCCTTAGCCAAGTTACTTGATGAAAAGTTCAAGTACTGTATCAACTGTAGAATATATGTCCTCTATGGATCTTTGGCCTTAACTCAAAATATAGCAGATTACATAACTCCCTGCTTTGATTATGGATAAAATATTCTACAACTATGGAATACACAGCCAGGAGAGGCCTCATTTTGTAAGAACTCAGCTGACTGGAATGGGATTCAGTGTTTAAGTACCTATGTCTGACTATGGTTTGGGGGAGGAATCTAGTTACTGTTCAGATTATAGAAAGAAGTCTATATTTATCCTGTTTGAGGGTTATTGAGATTTCTGATACACATCAACTTTTATGTACAAAGGGAAAGGATAAACTGAGCACATTAAAGTGGCATCTGACTATGTGATTCAGGTTATATATTTTCTATGGACAACCTGTAACCTATCCAAGGTTTCTGGGAGTCTGGGATTCATATGTAAGATGTTAAACTTGTTAATTGTAGAGTTACTATTATAGCAGTTGAAAATTTCTTTTCAGTCTGCCAAGCAGTGCCTTTGTGTTCCACCACTTAGGAAGGTGTCTGGTGAACTATGAGCAAATGATGGCTATTTATGACAATGATAGTTCTTGTATTTAAAAAAAAGGAAAAGAAAAATTCCAACAAGTAGAAAAAAGCCGTGATGGGGTTATATACCCTTATTTGAAAACTGTCGGTTTTAAGTGACCTTATTTCACACTGAGATAGCAAAATATGTGTAGAGAACAATGGAGAAAAAAATTAGGGCCACTGTAGAGCAACTGTATGAGAAGAGATTTAAAGACAAGACTATTTAGTTAGGGAAGGTGAAAAATAGAAGAAGATTAGTTGGACAAACAGAATAAAGAAAGCCATTCAGGGTTTCTAATTATCCTTTTTTGGGGAGGACAAAAGGGCATCCTGTTAATACAATGGCGACACACAGTAGAAATGTCAGAAAATAATCTTTTAGAACTTTAAAAATAGCCCATGGAATGGAAACCTGAAAAATAGCAAGATGTACATAGGTTAGGAAGTTTCTTAAAAAACTATTATAGTTGATAAAGCACCTGCCACCAAATTAAACCATTCCTGTTTTTAATGTCAACTGGACATTTCTACATAGTAGAAATTGGCTTGGGTTCAGTTGTCACTGACACACACACAAAAATATTGTCACATCCTCTAAAATTGTGTAATATTTGCCTCATGTAAAAACATGTACAATCTCTAAAGATTATACCTATATGAGGAGTAGAATTATAGTAACTATTTTAGTACACTTTGTAAAGCCATTAGTCTTCATACTTAATAGCATAAACCATTTAACAAATTAACACCATAGAATGACATGGCAGAATATAGGGCATTCTTTAATTTTCACAATTTCCCAGAAGGATTGACCTTCTCAGAGACAGAACAATCACCAGTCTGCTAAAGTTAGAGTATCTATTGACTTCTTTAAAAGCACCACTTGTGATGATGAATTTGCCAAATGTTCGACCTAATTTAGATGGAATATTATAGTGCAGACACTATTTTTATTCCTCAGCATTACAAATAATAGATCATTAACTCCCCATTTTCTTCTACCTGGCTGATCTTTGATTCCTGACAATAATTTTTTATAATGAAAATTGCACACACCCCTACTGTTTTTTGACTCTATATTTTCTCTGTTTTGCTACCGTGTTACCTTTGCCCCCTTTGAACTGTTTGCCATTTTGCATACAAGTGAGTTTTCTTCCTTCCTATTTAGAAAGGTCTAATCAGATTTTACTTTTCACACTTTCCTTCTTTAAGGATCGTAGAATCCTTAAAATTCCCAATAGCAACTGCACATACTGTACAGATAACTAAACAGAGAAACACTGTGATTAAAAATCAATCAAAAAAACAGAAAACCATGCATTCCCATTGCTTGAGGATCTTAAGCATAAGAGTCAATCATGGTAAAATTTTTCAAAATAATAATGAACTATGAAAAGCTATGAAAGTATTTGACATCATAACCTCCATTTGCAGTAATTCCTTTGAGATGAGTGATTCTGTATTACTAAAATTATTTTTATATTTCTACCTTAAAACATTTTTTTCTTCTTAATTACAGATTTTTGTTCATTCTTCTGGGACCCCTGGGAAAGGGTCAACAGTACCATGAGATTGGCAGATCAATTGCAACCCTAATGACAGATGAGGTATTTATTCAAGTTCATTGGGAACATTTTCCCCCACTAGGTATACCTAAAACTTTTGGAGGTCCTCTTTTCAAGACAGTTTGTTGTGAATCAGATTTCTCTGTATTGAATCCCATTCTCCCATGTCTCCACTATAAAATCTCCTTTAGAAAAATGTTTTCCAATGGGATAATAAATTAACACCCATGAATATAATATTTTAAAACTTCATAGTGTAAAGAAATTTTTTCGGTGACACTTAGAATATATTATTAATATTCCCTTTATGGTATATGTGCTGCCAAAGTAAGCACCATTGTTAATATCCTTGGAAATCTTGTTTTGAGTAAATAATTTCAAAGTCTAAAGAAAGAACAATAGCAGTTTATCTGAATAGTATACATGACCCCAAAATGCATGCAACATCTGTCAACTCTCTACAGTTGCCTAAATATAGATGTTTTTAACCTGGGAGTTTGGGAACTATTAGAGAAGCTGTAGATAGATTTCAAGGGGTTTGTGATTTCTGTGATAGAGCATGTAAATTTTTCTATCTAAAAAATTTGTCTGTAGATTTTTGGGACTGGAAAAAGCTTTCATCAGCTTTTCAAACAGGTGTATGTCTCAAAAGTAGAAGATCTTTAAAGTAAGAACATAAAAGATGCATCATACCACTATTTTCCTTGACTTAGATTCTCCAACCCATTATGGAAATTTGTTGTTATTGTTAACGGGAAGAGCAGATGCAGTAGATCACAGAAGGGGCATTAAATCAAAATTTAGTTGTAAATGAACAAATGGGATTATATACATCTAGATTTCATCTAAATAATTTAATAACGTTTTCATTGAAATACGTGGCTGCAGATATTTGAAAATTCTGTAAAAAGAGCCAATTAGTATTATATATTACTTTTTCTATGTTTACAATAGCTAAAATTTGAACTTGTTTAGGGGGTTCAATATTATAAATTCTTCAATCTGTCCAAATTATGTTTTACAGTGTTATATGAATTAGTTTTTGATATTTACACATAGGAAAGCAAAAGCTAGAAGAAAAACATTTTGTTCCCTCAGTTTTTAAAAGGAACCAACTTAATGAGTGTATTAGTTTACACTGACTGCCATAAGAAACTACCACAAATTGGGTGGCTTAAAATGACAGTAGTTTGTTTTCTCATATTTTTGAGGCTAGAAGTCTGAAGTCAAGGTGTCAGCAGAGCCACACTCCCTTCGAAGTCTCTAGGGGAGGATCCTTCCTTGTCTCTTCCATATTCTGGTGGCTCTTGGTCTTCCCTGGCTTGTGGCAACAGACCTTTGTTCTCTGTCTCCATCTTCACATGGCTTTCTCCCAGTTATCTCTGTGTGTCTTCTTATTTTCTGTTATGAAGACAGACATTTATTTGTCATTTGATTTCGGGCCCATCCTAAATACATCCAAATCGTTGAATTTAGGGCCCATCCTAATTCAGGATAATTTCATCTTGAGATACTTACCTTAATTACATCTCCAAAATCTTTATTTCAAATAAGGCCACATTCTGAGGCTCCAGGTTGATGTATATTTTGGGAGGAAATTATCCAATCCACTATAATGAATAACGTATTCTATTTGGGAAATTTGCAAAAATACAGGAGAATGAAAAAAATAGGTTAATGAGGGCCATACACCTGATTTAACATAACTCTCTCTGAGAAAACACTCACAGTATAAAAGCTCTTAGTATTTCCATATTGATTTGTATTAGTATTCTACAATTTAAGTATTATCACTTTCACATACATTTGTTTAATATTTTATTATATTTCAGACAAAAAATGTTTCCCCATCTAAGAAATTAGGGCATTATTTTAAGATATCTGTGGGGCATGAGACATGTGATAATGTGAGAGAGGATCCTACTGTGTCATGGAATGTACATGTACATCAGTGTATCTCTCTCCTCTTCATCCTCTACTTCCCCAATTGGGAATCAGCATTTTTCTCAATAGAAAGATGTCAGTTCTAAAGATTTCTTGACTAATCAAGTGAACACAGAAAAGGGAAATATCCATGTTCTATAAATTTCAGATTTAGGATGAGAACAGAGAAGGGGCTTCCATCTATTTATTTGATTAGTGAGAGCTACCTAATTTGAGAATAAGCATCAATCATATAATAAAGACTGAAATTTGAGCATAAGCATCAGTCACCTGATTAAAAAAATACATTTTTTCAATTATTTACCTTTGAAAGTTTTAGAGCATGGCCTTAGGTAATCTTTGTAGATTATAGGATACAGAAGCAGAAACTCAACCAGAAAGCTACTCTAAAAGATAAGAGCTGTTAGTTTTAATAGGACATGGTAGTTACAACAGGACATTGATTGAATATCAAAGACTGTTTAAATATTTTTTAAAAAAGAAAACAGATTTGTATTGTTCAAAGCCCAGGTAAAGCAAGTATTCTGCTTATCTAATTACTTTGAAGGCTATTGAATAATTGTACTAGGCCAGATGTAATGGCTCACAACTGTAATCCCAGCACTTTGGGATCGCCAAGGTGGATGGATCACCTGAAGTCAGGAATTTGAGATCAGCCTGGCCAACATGGTGCAACCCCGTCTCTACTAAAAATACAAAAATTAGCTGGGTATGGTGGCGTATGCCTGTAGTCCCAGTTACTTGAGAGGCTGAGAGGGGAGAATCGCTTGAACCTGGGAAGTGGAAATGGCAGTGAGCCACTATTGCGTCACTGCACTCCAGCCTGGGTGACGAAGCGAGACTCTGTCTCAAAAAAAGAAAGAAAAGAAAAAGGAAAAGAACAATTGTACTCATTAAGAATAGAATTTAATATGTTGATTCATTATTTACTTTGGTTAAAAAAATAGTTTATTGGATTGCATTATCAAACATAAATTCCATGAGAACAGTTACCATTTTAGCATTCAGTATTCACTTTTGTGCCCTGATTTTGCCAGGTGCTCAAATAAATATTCTTTGAACTAAGTTCTATTTTTTTCCCCTCTCTGTACTTTGAACACTTAGTAGGTAGACTGTCTTCCTTTTGTATTTTTAGACGTATCACAGTGTCTGACCCTCAGTCAGGGTTCAATAAATTTTTAAAACATGAATCAGATACTGAATATTCTAGTCATCATACCAATATTCTATCTTGAATCAAGCCAATAATTTATTTTCTTCATTTCTGTTGAGCTTTACTAGAGATAAATCATATGATTATGCTTACCAACACTGCTACCAATGTGTTGATCCCTTCACATTCTCAAAAATTATTAAGCACTCCAGAGCTTTTGTGTACATAGATATGTTGGTATTTACCATAGGAGAACTTAAAACTGAGAAATTTTTAAAATATGTGTTTATGAATTCATTTAAAAACAACAATAGGGCAGGTTCAGTGGCCCACGCCTGTAATCCCAGCACTTTCAGAACCTAAGGCGAGTGGATCACTTGATGTCACAAGTTTGAGACCAGCCTGGGCAGCATGGTGAAACCCTGTCTCTACAAAAAAATTCAAAAAAAATTAGCTGCATATAATCCCAGCTGCTCAGCTATTTGGGAGGCTGAGGTGGGAGGATGACTTGAGCCAGGGAGGCAGAGGTTGCAGTGAGCTGAGATGGCACCACTGCTCTCCAGCCTGGGCAATAGAGCCAGACGTTGTCTCAAAATAAATATATAAATAACAATAGTAAAACCATTACATATTAGCATAAATAATACATTTTAGTGAAAACAAAAACAAACAAAATACTAAGAGAGGCTTGTTTTTCTTTTTCTGGATATTTGAGCTAACAGTTTCCTCTCTCTTCTAGATCTTAAGTGAACCCTGACAGCAAACATGCAGAACACATAGTAGCTACTTGGAAGAAATACACATGAAATGAGGTCTAGGTTTACCCCATCCTGTAAAAAAAATTCTTTACTACTTAGAACAGCATATACTTCTGAAGCACATACTTTTGAAGAAGTGTTGGTTCAATATGAATTTTGAGAGTTTTGAAGGAGTAGTCTCTATTTGATTCTGAATATTTTTAGATTCATTCATTTCTTATCATATTGCAGTCTGACTTTGGCATTGCCATTCTACTTGAATTGCTCTCAAAAAAATTATCATTTACTAAGAATGTTATTACATGTTCATGACATTATTGAACATCGCATTTTTCTTTTTTCCCATAAGAACTGCTAAATTTTCTTGTGTGCTTCGTTTTGACACTAAATCTCTGAGATCTTTTTTAATTGAAATAGTTTATTTTTATACAATTTCTAGTGTCATTTAGGATAAAATCAGGAAGAAAAAAATTGTTTGGTTGCTGTCTCAACCCCCAAATCATCATCAATCTTAATTTTTTTTCTTTGAATTTTTTAATATACTTTAAGTTCTAGAATACATGTGCAGAACGTGCAGGTTTGTTACATAGTGTTACATAGGTATACACATGCCATGGTGGTTTGCTGCACCCATCAACACGTCATCTACATTAGGTATTTCTCCTAATGCTATCCCTCCCCTAGACTCCCACCCCCGAACAGGCCCCAGTGTGTGATGTTCCCCTTCCTGTGTCCGTGTGTTCTCGTTGTTCAGCTCTCATTTATAAGTGAGAACATGTGGTGTTTGGTTTTCTTTTCCTTTGTTAGTTTGCTGAGAATGATGGTTTTCACCTTCATCCGTGTCCCTGCAAAGGACATGAATTCATTCTTTTTTATGGCTGCATGCTATTCCATGGTGTATATGTGCCATATTTTCTTTATTCAGTCTGTCACTGATAAGCATTTGGTTCGGTTCCAAGTCTTTGCTATTGTGAATATTGCTGAAATAAACATACATAGTAGTATGTTTATATCTTTATAGTAGAATGTATCTTTATAGTATAGTATCTTTATAGTAGAGTGTATCTTTATAGTATAGTATCTTTATAGTAGAATGATTTATAATCATTTTGGTATATACCCAGTAATGGGGTTGCTGGGTCAAATGATATTTCTGGTTCTAGATCCTTGAGGAATTGCCACACTGT